AGGGGGAGGCGAGAGTGTGGTAGGTGCAGCATTAGTCTGCTTTCACCACAAACTCATTCACGCGCAAGTCATCGTCTCTGCCCTCACCCTGCTATGGAGCACATAGTGGACATCGTCGAAATCGACGTTCGAGCTGTCGCGTGTGTGTGTGTGTGTGAGTATTTGCAGGGTAGGAACTTGCGTGTGTGAGGTAGATGCATCTAAATTCCCCCGCCCCCACTGCATACGTATTCATGCGTAAGGCGCGGCTGCGCCCGCCTTCTGTGACAGTGGCAAGTATTCTCGTTCGCGACGATCAAATTATCTTAGATGTGCTAATTCATGAAATGTCAACCAAAATTTCGAAATGCGTTCTCGTTTCGAAAAGATAAATTAAGCAGTGTTGTAAAACTAATCATGATGCAGCATAAATATATAATGATCCAGTTACCTCTGGGTGTCGGCTTTCGAAAGAACTTATTTCCCGCTGGATGCAAGATCTATACTCTGCAAAAAATGACTACTTAAGTAGCAAGCAATTTTCTCATTGATTTTCGATGCCTTTAAAAATTCAATTATATTTCATGGAAAACATGCATATAAATATTCATTCTTTTCCTTATTCGGTAGAAAATCACGTCCTCTTCCAATTTCATACTCAAAAGAAGAGTATAGTTCGGTTTTAAAAAAGTTTCTAATTGTGAGGTTTTTTAATACCGTTAAATGGCCGTTCATCTAACGTCATGTATCTGCATTTACGAATGTGGCTTGTAAAGTTAACAATATTGCTCAAATCCACTGCTTAATTTTATGAACCTCATATGGTCTCCTCTTAACACCGTAGAGAAATGCATGTTTTTCCGTACACGGAAAATACAGAGCTTGTAGTTTTGAAACCCTGAATGCAAGTGTAACAGCAGGTCGGGTTCAAAATTATTCGGGAATTAGAAAAGTTTTTTAAAGCCGAATTATACTCTTATTTTGAGCATGAAATTGGAAGAAGACGTGATTTCCTACCGAATAAGTAAAAGAATGAGTATTTTTATGCATATTTTCCATGAAATATAATTGAATTTTCAAGGGCATCGAAAATCAATGAGAAAATTGCATACTACTTAAGTAGTCATTTTTTGCAGAGTATAGATCTTGCATCCAGCGGGAAATAAGTTCTTTCGAAAGCCGACACCCAGAGGTAACTGGATCATTATATATTTATGCTGCATCATGATTAGTTTTACAACACTGCTTAATTTATCTTTTCGAAACGAGAACTCATTTCGAAATTTTGGTTGACATTTCATGAGTTAGCACATCTACTGTATTCATGCGTAAGTCGCGGCTGCGCCCATCTTCAGTGACAGTGGCAAGTATTCTCGTAGTAAGGTAGGTACTTTTCCAGAGGCACCTCCTGGGAAATACAGGTCGGCTAACCACCGTATTTGCCATATAGAAGACCTTCTAAATTTACGTGTCTCTGCCGAGACTTAAGAGGCGCCGATAATGGATGTCGCCTAATTTTCCTGACTTTCAAAGAACCTCCCACTAAACTCATATATCTCTGAATTTAGGAAATAAATCTAAACTGAAATTTAACCATTTATTCCCTTGGAATGCACGCGCACATATTTGCTACTTACTTTCGCTCGGTAGACGTCTGAATTTGGCTACCGACCTCGAAAAGGGCACGTTCGAATGTATGTTATCTGTATTTGTATTCCCCTGGACTAGAGTGGCTCGGCCGATTTTCGGCTATCTATCCAAAAATTGATGTAGTCGAATGTATGCTTATCTTACTTATTTGCTGTGTGGCAGCGCACGTCATAATATTGGGAATAACCTCGCTCAGGTGATACAACGCAGCCTGGGGTTGATTTAATTGAGGCAGCGGTGATGGTTGTAATAATAACAGTTGCATTTAATGCCAGTCCACAGGCACTGTCAAAGAAAAATAAAGCAAAACTCGGGCTTGCAGCGAAAAAAACTCCTTATGACTAAGTACTGAGGATGGTGTTTTTGTGGTTTGGATGGTTCAGGAGAAAAAACTGTCGGTCAAAACAACCCCTTGTTTGCCATCCAATCTCCTTAATGCCGAAAAGGCAGAAAGTTTAATAAACTAACCATTGAAATCAACCGGTTGACAATAACGGTCAAATGTGATGGAAACGAGAGGGTTTCCGAAACGTCAGTTCAAATATAATTTGGTCCATGAATTCGCCCTCTCTTCTGTTACGCCTTCTTTGAGGAATGATGAACGCGACACAATATCTGGACCTCGAATCTTTACCCATATATATGTGTTTTTGTAGTCCCACCTGAAGTAAACAAATCCCAGCCATCTGTAAGACGGGACTGGTGGTAACAGGGGTTTTTACACGTGGGGACGGGTCAAGTAGTTGTATGCAAAAAGAAAAAACTATCAGGAATGCGCGGTTGTACTTTAAGTGGTTGAGAAATAGTTGCCCTTACACTAACGCCTTACCCAAACCCCTAACGCTAACCCCTAGCCATAACCCCTAACCCTTACCTCTAGCCCCAACCACCAACAGTATTGTGGACATCACAATAACGTTATGGGGACTATTTTGGTGCTGAAAAAGTCACAAACGAAGTAACGCTGTTCATCAGGCATTAAATAAATAAATAACGAACCCGGTTAGTTATGCATTTTGACGGCCTTAAAGGGCATTTTGAGGCAAAGCAAGGTGCGTAAGTGGACCGTTTCCGTCCACACGATGCTGCAAACGTCCGGACGGACAGAAGCCGCACCAACGATAAGAGGGACGATACGGAAGCACACTCTAACGCCTGTGTTCGCATTGCGTTACGCAACCTGCTTGTTTCACATAGGCTTGCAGTTAACTTTTTTTCTTCCCTTACCTGCTGCCTTCAAAGTTGCCATTTGCGAAAGGTTGAACCTTCTGGCAGACACGTGTTTTTCCTTCCCACAGTGCCTGGCATTTCCGTCTTCCAGGCATTCACCAGTTGGCAGTTAGATTCAATTAGCACATGAATTCGTAAAGACTTCTGTCGACGTGATCTGTAATCAGATAAAATTTATCGCTAAGTGGCGTAGGGTAGGAGGATTTTCGGCCATGCGCAGCATATAACTAGGGAATTAGGCAGTTTTACACAGCTTGTCCGCGAGGGAACAAATTTAAATCCCTTGGTCTGTCGTATCTTTCAAGGTGAGTTTCTAACGGCTGATTTTGTCCCCTCAAGCTCGTGACTTCAGGCGGTTCGTCAGCCACCGTATAGGCTCTTAGCTTCTTCCAAAGCCGCCGAGGCGACTGGCTGACTCATTTGGCGACCTCAGACGCCACCTCAGCATTAGCTTCGGTCCCATGGCAATTAACTGTGGCGAGAGTGAGTCAGCTGTTGGCTGACCGTCACGACGAGTTATCGACTGATCCTCACGTTATAACCTAACTTTTAGGTACAGCCACTTGGTCGCAAACGCCAAACGAATGCCGATTTTCCAGCACTTTCGAAATGCTAACTATTTTTGCACATTTACTCAAGGCTGACAATGAACTGGGGAACCGGCGTTGAAAATTAACTTAATAAAGTGTTCAACCCTTCCCAGAGAACGTGTTTGCCTTCTATATATATATGGTGGTGGGTAGAGACGTGGACTTCTAAACCAACAGGTCGCGAGTTCGAGGCTCGGGTGTTCCACACTTCGGGCTTGGGTATGACTGGCTTACGACGGCTAATAAGCTAGAAATGGCCATTCCAGTCTCCCTTGTCTTTGTCGGTAATACCATTCTGCCTATATATCATTCGCCGCTGTGCGGCTGCTGGTTGGGTTTGAGAGAGAGCCCTTAAGGCACAACGGAACGAGTGATCTCCGTATGAACGATCGGTGAGCGCCCCCTAACATTGTATATTCCCGATCGAAAGCCGACAAGGCAACGGGCTCGTGGCCCCCTACCATTATGTGTATGTATATATATGGTAAAGGTATTATACCGTACTCACTACGTAGATACTTGCTAAAAGTGCAGAAGTGCAGACACGTGTTTCGCCGATATTCTGCCGCTGCGTGACACAGCTGCGATTGGTTGTGCTCTTCAGTTAGACCCCGAGGGAGTACGGTATAATACCTATGACATATGGATTTCCTAATACTTGTAGTACTACTTGTTTGTAGAATGGGCATTACGTGGTTATTCCACAGTAGTTGATTGACTTCGACCCGAATTTTCATTAAAATTTCGGTTTTGACCCTAAAATGTCATGTCCCGAAGATTAAACTGCAAGTCCTGCACTGAGTAATTTCTGAAATTACAGTAGCAAGCTGGCGGGCTGACAGAATGGGATCGAGTGAGATCCTAACCACAACAGTGAGGGTCAAACGCCCACTTGACATATATATATATATATATATATATATATATATATATTGTTGATTGAAGCGAAAATGCGTGTTCCCGGATATAGTTGAGAAGATAAGTCGATCACGGGAACCATGGATTTATTTGACTGACGTTTCGAAAGCAAATAAGCTTCCATCATCGGAGCAATGGCCGCGGTCACCCCGACGCCGCTCCCCTCCCCACACCCGACAAAGGATGAGGAGAAACCGATGCCGCCATGACAAATATCGTCAGGCCTTGCGATGCAGCGGTGATGGTGTCTTTTGACGTGATCTCATTATCCACCTCCATCCCACCCGCGCTGGCTATCGACGCTATTGACGATTTTCTCCGGAAAAAGTATGATGAGACCGATCAACAGCTCAAACGAGTTCACATCATCGAGCTCCTAGAACTATGTCTTAAGCCGTTCTTTATATTTAACGGCCAGGTCTACGAGCAATAAAGGGGACACCGATGGGCTCGCCTCTATCTGGATTAATTGCCGAAGCGGTTTTACAGAGGCTTGAGCGGCTGGTCTTCAGCTCGTACCCCCCAAAATTCTGGCCCAGATACGTCGATGACACTTTCGTTATCATCAAAAGGAGCGATGTGCAGACTTTCAAGACACTGTTGAATTTAATCTTTTCCGACATCCAATTTACTATGGAAGAAGAGCTCAACAATCAGCTGGCCTTCCTTGACGTGCAAGTGAGAAAGCTGGAGGACGGGAAGATAAAGACGACGGTCTACCGCAAGTCAACTAACACCAGGCGAATCCTCCACTTCAGGAGCAACCACCCCGTTGGTCACAAACGCAGTTGTGTCAGGACCCTCTTCCAACGCGTTGAAACACACTGCAGCGACGAAAATGGGAGGAAGGAGGAGATTAAGTACTTGCACGCCCTACTTAAAGCCAACGGTTATCCCAAGTCCTTCATACGCAAGTGTCTTAGGAAGCCCCACCCTGAGCGGTCGGACGGAGAAAACCCGAAATTTTGGCTCGCAATCCCTAATGTGAAAAACATGTCAGAGGCGACGGCAAGAATCCTGAAGCCTTTCGGGATCGGAGTGGCTCACAAGCCAGAGTCAACAATCAGACAGCAAATAATGAGGCCCAAAGGCCCGCTACCGGTGACAGAACAATCAGCGGTGGTCTACAGCATACCATGCCAGAACTGTGATGCAAGGTATGTTGGTGAAACGGGCAAACGTCTTGGCACAAAATTGCATGAGCACCAGCTTGCAAGCAACTGCAAGGACAAGCTGTCAATGGTTTATGGCCACGTCAAACAGCAGAACCACAATTTCGCCTTTGAAAAGGCAAGGGTAATCGGCCGAGCCAATGATAAGATGGCCAGACTGGTGCTCGAAAGTTGGTTCTCGACTGGCACATTCCATAGAGCCATAGATCTGCATCCCGCCTATCAGGCACTACGCACAAGGCTCGAGTCAGTGCGGACAAGGCCATCAGGACAGTCGAGCAAAGTGACGCGTGGTCGACAGCCGATGTCAGCAGAAAGTGGGAGAGAAGCTGGCCGGGGGTCATGTGACCAGCATGGGACGCCACCTCGCCGCGACGCCCACGAGGCTGAGATCAACTCACATGAGCCCCAACAACTGATCAGTCCGTTGAGTGACGAGGGGGAGGCCGTCAAGCATGCTGGCTCGCCAACAACTACTACGGCCAAAAAGGGGTCATTAGGGGCAGGAGCCCACCGGCGGTCAATCGTGGAGAGGTCGACGCTAATCGGCGGCAAACGGGCAGGTCAGAGTTCGTGCCTCGCGCACGGATATAATACCAGGCAGGTATCGAGGCTGATGCAATCAAGACCAGCAGGAACTGTCAGCACATTACTCTGATGATGGAAACGAGAGGGTTTCCGAAACGTCAGTACAAATATAACTCGGTCCATGAATGCCCCCTATCTTCTTCTTCGTCTTCTTCGGGGGATGATGAACGCGATACAATATCTGGACCTCGAATCTTTACCCATATATATATATATATATATATATATATATATATGAGATGGAGCCGACAAAGACAAGGGAGACCGGAATGACCATTTCTGGCTTATTAGCCGTCATCAGCCAGTCATACCCAACCCCAAGTGTGGATCACTTGAGATTCGAACCCGGGATCTTTGGTCATGGAGTTTGACGCTCTACCATTGAGCCACGGGCCCCTTGTCCTGTCGGTTGTGATCGGGAATATCAATTATGACAGTGGGCGCTCGCCGATCAGGTTACGGAACATGCTCGTTCCGTTGTGCCTTGGGGCTCATACTAGAACCCTCGCAGGCAGTCGCACAGCGACTAGTAGTAGACATAGATGAGATGGAGCCGACAAAGACAAGGGAGACCGGAATGGCCATTTCTGGCTTATTAGCCGTCATCAGCCGGCCATACCTAACCCCGAAGTGGGGGAACACCTAGGGTTCCACCCCGCGACCTGTTAGTTAGAAGTCCGACGCCTCTAACCACTGATGTACGGGCTCGTTGTTCTGCCGGTTGCGATCAGAATGTACATTCCAGTTCCTCACGACATGGATCAATTGCAACTCGAAAAATTCACGCATAACATTTTCTTAAACAAAATATAACGAAAGGACACTGTAAGTTGAATTTTTCATGGGTTCTAAACCAAGCCTCCTTTCGAACCCTATTTATTGGACCTATTACCGTATACTTGCTGTTTTAGAGCGTTCTATCCGAAAAATAAAAAGCTCATAAATCTATCCTAGATGGCATTTGTCAGTTATTTAAGTCAAGCGTTCTAACACTTTCAGTCAGGTGTTGTGCAACGCCAGAACGACTCAAATATTCGATGAAAAAATGATCTGGGCTGAAATCTCAGATCTTTGCATTTTGGGATTAGAATGTTTCAGCCGATAATAATAATTTAACCCTTAAGTTAGTCTTACTTTATTCCCGTTAGTGACGGTAACGGTTCTTGATGATTGATTGTCCGATGCTATTCGACTACCTGTAGAGGATCACGAAAAAGCTTAGTTCTGTATGGGTGGGAGAGAAAGAGACCGATCGATCACCGGAGGCAGTTTTTGTTTTCTGAACTATCGAACTCGTTTGAGATGACCGCAGCAACTCACCGTTACGGAAAACAGCTTAGTTTCTGACTACGTGACACACAGTACAGTAAATGTTCTATCTCAATAAATTTCGAAAAATGTCTTCGATTAGAAAAGATTACTTAAGCAGGGTCGTAAGACTAACTGTCCTGAAGTATAGTCACAAGATATTTCAGCTATCTCAGGATGCCAGCTTTTGAACAAGCTTTTTTCCGGCCGCTTGCAAAAACTCCAATCTTTAAAAATGACTACTGATATAGCGCGAATATTTCCAACTGATTTTCGTTACCTTCATTTATTCAAATAGATTTTATAGAACACAGGCAAGGGAATATTTTCTTATACCCACTCGGTAACAAATTAGGTCTACTCCAAACCGTATACTTGGAAAAAGGGCATATTTCGCTTTTGAAAACTTTCAAATTATGATATTTTTTCAGAATGTGAAATATCTACCTACAAAGCATCGTATCCGTTTATTTGTTAATGTTGCTTGTAAAGTATTCAACATAGTCTACACCTGCTGCAAAAGTTTACGAGCCCCGTATGTCGTCTTCTCAATAACCTTTATAAATATAGAATTTTCCCTACATGGAAAATATACAGCTTGTAGTTCAAAAACCCCGTATAAAAGTGCGACAATAAGTCAAGTTTGGATTGATTCGGGAATTGGAAAAGTCTTTTAAAACCGAATCATAACATTACTTCAGGTACGAAATTTTACGTAGACGTAATTTTCCTTCAAATAAGCAAAAAAATGAATATTTTTATGCGTGTTTCCTATGAAGTATATTTGGATTTATGGTGACATCGAAAATTATGGGAAAATTTAATATCACTTAAGCAGCCATGTTTTTCAGAGGGTAGGCTTTGCAGACAGTTGAAAATAAGCTCGTTCGAAAGTCGGCATCCTGAAACGATCGAAATATCTCGGTATTATGGTGCATGACAGCTAGTCTTAAGGTCCTACTTAGGTATTCCTTCCTAATCGAAGGCACGTTTGGGAATTTTGGCTAGTATTTCGTGAGAGAGCCCATCTACAGTATAATTCTGGCGACAAGTGCCGCAGGCCTTTTAGTGACTGCTCAGGACTCCGTATGCGGACATAGGGGTGAAGGATGTCGACGTCTCACAGAATTAGCATCTTAGAGTGGAAAATATAGTTTCGACACGGAATAAATACCCTCCATGAGCTCTAAGTGGCTTAACGCTAAATTCCAGAGGTCCCCTGTGCGTGCGTACTAACTGTAACCCCAACTTTACCCTCTCCCCTGGAATGTAACACAAGCTCACCCGTAATACGGAAGATACCTATTCCTACGCCACGTCGAAATGGCGTACTGATATTGACTGAGTCGTTAGAGCATCAACTTTAGCGTGACGTTAGCATTTTGCCGTAAATCAGTGGAAGGCTACAACACTCGACTATGGCCCGACGCTCTCACTACTGACTGCCATCAGTAGGACACACAGCGGATGGAGTTGTGTTACCTCGCCCAGCTGAAGTTCCACTGCGCATTGAAAGGGAGAGTGCCTGTGTGTGAGAGAATATGGAAAACAGGAGAGGTGCCAACTTGGATGACTGCCAGCCGATTGCGCCAGAATGAAATGGCTCCTCAGTCAGGTGGCTTTTTATGGCCACTGCCTTTTGAAGCCTGTTTCTTTTGTGCGCGCAGGAACTAGGGCGCGAATTGGCCTCGTCAGACAACAGAGCCCACATCCACTACCAGTCGTCTTTACTCTGCCCTGTACTTTAGAGTAGGGCGTATGGGAGAGGGGAGGTTGGCTACTTGAATAGCACGCGGATAAAATCTAATGGGGCGTGCAACTCGGAAAAAACCAAAAATACGCGTACTAACATAGTGGTGATTAGCTGAGTATGCTAAAAAAGCAAAGTTATACGATAATCATATTAAGGGCAAATAACGTTTCATAACTGACAAGTCGAACTGACTATCATTAATGCCTACCACTTGCCGTCCATTCACGGGTTAAGCCGGCACATCCTTACTGCCATATCTAACCGGCAGACATTGCCGTACGGTCAACTGGAAGCTTAGATCCATGAAAAATCCAGAGTTCCAGCTGGCTGCACGAAATGTCCAAAACAGGTATCTTAACTTCTTATATTCTTTTACACTGAACAGCAGCTATTATGTCACGCAGCGGCAGAATATCGGCGAAACACGTGTCTGGGCTTTTAGCAAGTATCTAGGTCGGGAGTACGGTATAATACCTTTAACATATGAAATTCATACTACTCGTAGTACTACTTGTTTGTAGAATGGGCATTACGTGGTTATTCCACAGTAGTTGATTGTCTTCGACTCAAATGTTCATTGAAATTTCGGTTCTGACCCTAAAAAGTCATGTCCCGGAGATTTAACTCCAAGTTCTGCATTGATTAATTTCCGAAATTATTCACCTGATTATTCTCTGGAGTTCATATACCGGAAACCGCTAGAGAACGCTGGGGGTCCCACTGAAGAGCCGAACCCCTCGCAGCTGTGTCACGCAGCGGCAGAATATCGGCGAAACACGTGTCTGGGCTTTTAGCAAGTATCTAGGTCGGGAGTACGGTATAATACCTTTA